AGCATGTTCTATGTTTTCTGAAATCTCTACCTTGGGGGGGGGGGTGTTTTACTACGCTAATTAACTTTTAGGTGAAAAATAGGTCAGCCGGTGGACTCACAATTGTGATTTTTGAACATCTCAAAACCTTATCTTCCCCTCCCCAGAGCACCCTCCCTGCCAAGTACTCACAACAGCCAAACATTTGACTTGTTATCATCCTCTTTCAGCTTAGAAGTATGCAACCCTCAAGAGGGAAGATTCAGGTATGCCAATCAGCTGCCCGGCCCTCAGTTCCTATCTGCTCAATGCCACTTCCATCCCATACCAGCTCAGAGAAATGGCGCCTTCCATGGGAATGAGTGTTGTTCAATGGTGAAATCCATCACTTTCTAATTCTTGGAATTTCTTTTCTTTTCCATCTTAGACACAGAACCTGGAAGCCTTTTGTAGGTCCTCGTGTACAGACAAAATTCTCTCTTGGGCAAAGAGGGCTTAATGGCCTGCTGTGGTCATTCCTGCAACTAGAGGAACAGTCCTATGAATGAAAAGGCATTTGGAGAGCCACAAGATTCCTCGGACCCCTTTGGAGTTGCCTTCCAGGACAGAGAAAGAATGGAGACACAACTCTTAGCAAGTGAGGGAACTGGAGAAGGCCCTTCTGCTGTTCAGCCTGGGAGCTGTGGGGAGATCTGGGTGAGAACTGGGCAGAAGATCCTGGAGGACAAAACCACCCATTCAGATGTTCAGCCGCAGAACTTCAGGAGCATCCAATACCAGAAGGCTGAGGGTCCCCGAGGACTTTGCAGCCGTCTCCACTACTTTTGTCGTCATTGGTTGAGACCAGAAAAGTGCACAAAAGCACAGCTGCTGGACCTGGTTGTTCTGGAGTACCTCCTGGCCTTTCTGCCCCCACAGATGGAGAGCTGGGTGCGGGAGTCCGGAGCAGAGACCAGCTCCCAGGCGGTGGCCCTGGCGGAAGGCTTCCTCCTGAGCCAGGCGGAGGAGCAGAAGGATCAGGTCAAGTTGCAGGTGGGAGATCTTCATTTTGGGATCCCAGAAGGGGTCTGAAGGGAATAAACAATCTGCTTGAATTCTTAACCCCTCCCGATGACAGTTTTCTGGCATTTGTAATACGTGGAGATGTTTCACTAATTCTTGTGGGATATTGTTGCACTATCCATTCTAGAAGATAGATTTGGGACACCCATTCCTTTCTCACTTTCCAGCCTCGCTTCTGGACACTGGGGGGTTTAAAGTAGTGTTTAGAATCCACTTCATGTTGTGTGATGTCTATTAATTCTTCTTCTCTTCTCCTGCCTCTTATTTCAAGTCCTTCGCTGTGGACATCAGTGATCCTGACGGAAGGAGGAATCCCTCCAGTCCCCCTCAGGACCCGTTTTTCACGAGGATCTCTCAGGAAGATCCAAGTGAGGACACCTCAGGAGGTAATTGAAGGCCCTCCCATTCCCCAGAGAGATCCCAGCTGTCTCATCTTCTC